CCTCTATGCATGCGAGAGGCATGCAGACATCAAGTGACAGTAACACTCAAGGGTGTAGATGACTTTTGGAAATCCCACGTCTGCATTTCTGTGCTCTCAGAAAAGCTCTCTTCAAATTGGAGAGAGTCCAGCGGAGGGCGATGCATATGGCTAGCGCACATGACTGGTGAGGAGGAGCTGCAGGAACTGGGCTGATTTAGTCTGCAAAAGAGAAGATCGAGGGAGATTGAATAGCAGCCTTCAACTCCCTGCAGGCGGGTTGTAAAGAGGATGGAGCTGGACTGTTTTTGGTAGCAGCAGATGACAGGACAAGGAGCAATGGGCTCAAGCTGCAGCAAGGGAAGTTGAAGTTGGATAATAGGAAAAACTCTTCTCCCAAGGAGGGTAGTAAAGCACTGGAATGGGTTACCCAGAGAGGTGGTGCAGTCTCCATCCTTGGAGGTTTTGCAGACCCAGGTAGACAAAGCCTTGGCTGAGATGATGCAGTCAGGGCTGGTCCTACTTGGAGCAGGGGGCTGGACTGGATGTGACCTCCTGAGAGCCCTCATCTTCTATGATTCACGTTGTTTATTATGCCAAGCTCCTGTGATTTTTTGGAATGAAGGTTTCTGAGAGATGTACAAATTCAACTGAAGATTTTTAATGTACACAACAGCAAACTGGACTGAATAGAGCTTTTCATTAAAAAAGAGTATGACACAGTGGTATGAGACGTAACAGGTACAGTGGCAACTGCCTAAAAGAAAACTGCACTGATCATAACCTTTACAACAGCATGTATTTGAGGTCAATCTGTTGCCCATGACAACTGCTGTTCTCAGAAAGAAAAGAAAATGGAAGGTTTATATTGCTATATAGATTGCTATATTTATAAAATTGCTAGATTGCTATATTTTTAAAATAAATAGATATGCCAGGATTAACAAATGGAAGGTATTTGAAACAAGAAATATTTAAATATCATAAAAACTGTGTGTATATTGAAAAAAAACCTGCTTAGAAACCAACAGAAATTGGAGGAACGTGGAAAAAGTCTTGATGGCCATGTCGAGACTGGAGTGCAAAATTACATCTCGCCACGGAGGCAAAAGATGTCTTCTTGAGAACAGTACCCTCTTTCCCCCCCTCAAAAAAGGGGGAATGGCAGCAACCTGATGAAAAGCCCACCAAAGTCTAAGATACTTATATAGTGCCAGCCATCTATGTGTGTGTAGCTGGAAAACAGAGTGCTGAACCTGCCACAAGACAACTACTACCGTGTGCTAGTAGTGGGGGTTGGAATAATTGATAGGAAAACTATAAAAGCCACTCTGAATCATGGAGTCCCTACAGATGTAATTTCACGCTTTGGGAATAACCACTTCAAACCACATGCAAGCTGAATCCCTGACTTCCCATTTCATGTGACGGGACCTGTGACCGTGACAATACTTAAAAAGGAGAGATCAGAACTGACCATGTGCAAGATGCACTGTCGTGGGTCTGGTCATCACAAAAGTAGCTCATCCTTCTGGTCACCAACCCAGCCCTGCTTATTTGTAAGACTTCATCAAGGTGTTTGGGTGAAAAAAAGTTTCAGCCAATGGGTTTTTGGGGAGCTAATCCCTCTGATGATTATTTGCGCGTGATTTGTCATGGAATTCGGCATGTTTCTTCCCCTACATTGGATAACTAAAACTTTTCAGAACAGAGGAATCTGAATGATGATCAATGAGCAATGGGTAAGGAAACTCCTGGATAAAAACCTGCTAAAATTTACTCAACTTTCAGAAGTGACACTCAAAAACCCAACATTTCCTTGAATCCTCATGAATAACAAACAATCCTGCATAAATCAGACTTGTCTCTTAATCATAAAGCATGCTCATAAGTCCTTTTTTCAAACAAATGTATCATTTTTCTTGTACAGAATCTAATTATGAAGGGGGCTGTCTTAAATTTGAAGCCGTCTTGGATTTGGGTAACTACAATAGCAAATCTAGCAACCTGTTTTTTTATTCAACTCCCCGACTCCAGTAATATTCTGGCAGGGATGAGCCTTGCAGTTCAAAACCAACACAACAAGGTCCTCCTTGCTACTGGAGCATGAATATAAAAGGTCAGTCTGCTGATACACAAACGTGATGAAGAATGAGTCCAGGCTAGGTGAAAGGAGTAAATAAGCTGGACTGTTACAGCCAGGACAAGGGGGTAGAGGATCCCAGAGCATCCTCGACTTTAGAACATGTGGCAATATCTGTGTCCGAGGTGCAAATTTCTCAAGTCCTCCAGGCCTTGAAAAACCTCACTGCAACACTGAGCTGTGAGCACTCCCGCAGTGATGGACAGTTTTGAACAACCATTTAACAAACCTGACTACTAGCAAGTCACGCTATAGTTTCCACTTGCTTGGTCCTCATGTTTTACTGCTGTTTCACATGGAGGTCCTGGCTCCCTGGGAACAGTCAAGTGGTTTCCAAAAAAAACCCTGCTTTTTTAAAATCAAAGTTCTGCCAATTAGGGAAGAAACATTTGTTTGTAGTGCATTGCCTGACAAAATCTTTTAAACTAAATTAAAAGGAGACTAACGCAAGAATGTAACCAAAAGCATACGCAGAAGGGTAGCCTAAGGGAAAAGGGATTAGTTTAACGAGGAACCACATGGAAATGACGCCAATCCTGAGAACTAGCAAGGGTGGAATGAACTCTGCTCCAGGAAAACCACTTTTACTTGTGAGCAGACAAAGCGTAGAGATGCTAAAATCACTCAGCAGAGAAAGCCACAGAGGACCGAGACCCAGGATGCCCTATGGGGTAATCCCATCTCTGACTGACCAGCTCATGGCCCTGGGCTAGGTACTTTACTCCCTGCATCTGCTTCCCAGTCTTGTCAAATGGGAAATTAAGTTAACCCAGCCGTCAGGATGCTGGAAAGCACACCGAAGATAAGCATCACGTGGTAAATTCCTAGCACGGTTACATTCAAAGTCTTCACTATGGAGCATGGTACCAGGACAGCTAAGACTGCTCCCTATAAGATGTAGAGGACCTTGCTCTGCTCTGCATTCACAGCAGGACCCTGCCCTGGATTCACACCTCTGCCAACCCAGCTCTTAACAGTACTGTGAGCTGGGGAGTCAAAGCAGCTGAATCTGATGCTGGCTACATCATATCTTTCCACGGCACCGACTCTCTCACCTGGCCTGCTTGACCCACGCTAACCTAATTCACCACGTGCACTTCGGCAGCCCTTTCACCTTGTTGCCCTGCAATGCAAGACTTCAATGCAAAGTCATTAAAAATGCAGCATCTATGTTACTGCAATGCTTTTTGTTCCTTCTCACACACACACAGGCACTGCTGCTTGCAGAATAAAGTCTCACTGTGTATTGACAACACCACCACTGATACAAGAGGAGGGTGGCCCCGCTTTGCAGTGCAGGTTCCGCAGCACTGTTTCCTAACCGAACCTTACTGCTTTCAGTAAGGGGACACTCTTCCCTACAGCTCATCATGAATTAAAAATCTGGCTGACTTAAAAGGGGGGGGGGCTGGGGGTGCCCTGGCTTCCATTTCCCCCAACACGCCTAACAGCGTGGCTGTGAAATGAGACATTTCAGGCCTGACACTGTGGCAAACACACAAGCTTGACTTGCACAATCTGCAGCATGGTTGGTATTTCCAGCCAGGCCAGAGTTGCATCAGCAAACTGCTCTGAGCGCCTGTGCAGGTCTAGGGCAGCTGGCACATGGATGAGTCAAGAGAATGCCCCCTCCCACCACTGCAGCTCTCAGTGGCCCTCAGTCCACCCAGAGAGGGGGAGTCTTATATGAAAATGGTTTGTTTAGAGACTGCACCCGAAAAAAATAAAAATAAAAGAAAGCAGGTTACCCAGGTGTAGCATCTCTCCCCTGCCAGGTCTTTAAAGACCCCCTTCTCCAAACTCCACCCACAGGGAGGGGCTGTGTTTGCATTAGGAGAGGACTGACAGTAAGCCGGCTGGAGGGTTATGCTCAGAGATGGCAAGGGAAGAAAGGCACAACACAAGCCCTACGTGTGGGAGACAGGACGACCTTTAACGGGACAAAGAGGCTAGATTTTGACAGGTCTGAAAACCTGAGAACAGGGGCAAAGGATTTGGAAGGGTCCCTGCGCTACAAAGGGTCCCACAGGGTCATTCACACCCCCGAGCCACACAATACCCGCAGAAATAAAGAACTGCTGGAGTGGGGAAGAGAGGGCCCCCACCACCCAGGACTGCAGCCTTTTGCATGCGTCTGGCCAGACTACAAGGCAAGGGAGGAGGAGAGAGGTTTTTGTCAGCGCTCTTTCAGGAGTGGTGCTGAAACCCGTTTGCTCTTGGCTGCCGTTGCCAAGTTCAGCACCAAATCATTTCCCTAGCGTGGGTTCCTGCAGGCTAACTCCACACGTGGCTTCCCCATTTCGGGGGCATCCGAGCTCCTTGGCGCCACGGCTGGGTTGAACTCTCCCACAAGCCTGGATTCGAGTCTCTTGCAAGGGTGCAATCCTCGGGCTGCAGCTCCCCGAGCTGCAACAGCCTCTTCCACGCATCCCCTGGGGCTTGTAAACTGAAAACATGCCCTACTCCTCCCCGCGAACCCCCTGCCTGGCATCTCTTTCCTGCAGGTACGTTATGCCACGTGTGCCCACTTGCTCCGTGTCATCCATCTGACCTGGAGCGCGTTCGGCACGTGGTGCCTAGGATCGCAGGGTCCATTTGGTGGGTGCAGACAGAGGCAGGGCCGAGCGTCACCGTCTGATGACACAACACAAGATGTCAGCGGCTCCAAGCAGGCCACATGCTGCAAGTTGCCTTCAAAGAGGGGTGCTGCTTGAAAACAGGGAAATTGCCTTAAAATAGAGCTACTTTTCGAATACGGATGTCACCTTAAAACAGGGACGTTGCTTGAACACGGAGAAGTGGCCTTAAACTAGGGGAGCTGTTTGCCTGCAGGGCAGTGGGCTGGGGCAGGGGAGCGTGGCGCGGCATGGATACTCACAGACACAGAGGCAGGCCACCAGCTTGGCAGCCCCCTCGGGCACCGGGCAGGTGGGGAAGAGCGGCTTGAGCAGGTAGGTGGCGAAGACCAGGGCCACGATGTACTGCGAGGAGGGCCGGATGATGAGCAGCTCGATCCAGAGCTTGAGGAAGGCGGGCAGCGAGCCATAGACCTCCAGCATGTAGGCATAGTCGCCGCCGGACTTGGTGATGGTGGTGCCCAGCTCAGCGTAGCACAGCGCGCCCACGATGGAGAAGGCGCCGCACACCGCCCACACCACGAGCGCCAGCCCGGGCGAGCCGGCCTCCTTCAGCACGCCCGTGGGGCTCACGAAGATGCCCGAGCCGATGATGGTGCCGATGATGATGGCCACGCCGTTGAGCAGCGTGATGGAGCGCTGCAGGGCCACCCCCTCCTTCCCGGCTCCCCCGGGCCCGACCACGCCGTTCTCCTGCCCCGCCGGCTGCAGCATCTTCTCCAGCGCCTCGGCGGGCGCCGACCCGGCGGCAGAGCCGCGCTTCTTCAGCGCGCCGCTTCCCGGCATCGCCTCAGCCGCGCGCGCCGGCACGGCCGCCCTTTT